CATATAAGGATACATATAAGGATAAAGTTTTTGGTGTTGTAGTGGTGTCAACTTCATAAATCCTTACATACAAAAAATTCGGGATCATGTTTTTGGCGCTATTGCCGAAGATTGAAACAGTTAAATTTAATTAAATTAAATAATTTTGATAAAGTATTTTAGTTTAAGTATTTTAGTTTAGGAGTAGAAGTATTATTATAATGATAATTGTAGAATATAATCAAAATCAAACCTTTATCGACCTTCCAAGCTAGGGGTGTTATTTTAGACTAAAACTTCTATTGAAAGCCATCATGATTAACCTCGATCTCCGTGGGATTGATATTTGCGTGGGATTCATGATTAACCTCGATCTCCGTGGGATTGATATTTGGGGCTTAATCAGAAAGCCTTATATTACTTGATAATGATACGTATACTTCCGTAGAATCCCCACAAATATAATTAAAATCTTACTTCGCTTTGGATCAAGCTTGAGATCAATTTTTTGGTGTCATTAACGGGGATTAAAATCTTCAAGTAATGGTGTCAACTTCATAAATTCTTACATAAAAAAAAATATCAGGATCACTCCTCACAAAATTTCTGAAACTGCGAATTTGTATACTATGTGTCATTATTAGATCTCAAATACTTGATCTTTCTATCAGTTTGGTTCTCCACCTCAGCTTTCTATAGCTTGAATTTAAAGAAGACTTCAGATTTATGCTTCAAGAAATACATCCAAACTTTCCTGGAGAGATTATCAATAAATTTAACAAAATACAGAGATCCTCCAAATGACGATTCTCTGATAGAACCCCATGCAACAGAATGCACATAGTCAATAATCCCTTTAGTTTTGTACTTTCCAATCATAAAACTGACTTTATTCTGTTTTTCAAGAACAATGAACTTACAAAGATCGAGCTTGCAGCTTTTAACACCATGCAACATGTTTCATCTATGCAATTTTGTCATCCCATGTTCACTAAGATGACCCAGACGTATATGTCATAGCTTTGTATTATCATCGTCTGACTTCAAAGAATGAACTCAACCTACAACTGTACTCCCCAATAGTTTTTAGATATTACCTGCAGTTAAATTTCTTTTCATCACAGTCAGTGCACCCTTGACAATTCAGCTGGTTTCCATATCCTCATCTGCCTTAGGAATAAATTAATTTCTATGTAAAGTGCCCATAGAAATCAAATTCATCTTCAGATCTAGAATAAATCTCACATAACATAATGTTCTAACAGTGTCTTCATACATCTGAATTCTTACTTCACCAATAGCAAGAATATTACAACATCTATCATCACCTTAATAGACTAAGCCAAAATTAGTTAACTTGTATGAAGTAAACCACTCCCTGTTAGGTGTTATGTGTTAAGAGCACCCTGAATCAAGCATTCATGCATCCATGAACTAAATTAATGAAACTGAAAGCATATCACAATCACTGCAACCTGAATTTTTACTCTGCATCACAGTTATAGACTTGGATGATGCATCACTTTTCTCCCCAATCTGCTTCTTGAGCTTTGGCCAAACCATCTTCATATGACCAGGCTCCTTGCACTTTTAGCAAAGAATTATCTTTTTGCCTTTAGATTTTGATCTGAAATTTCACCTTCCAAAACCCTCATTCTCTTTCTTCCTTCCACAATCCCGATTACCCTTAACATATAAACTGTCCCCATGAGAGCTTTCCCTCTACATTTTGCTTCCGCTGGTTGTGAGCCAACAATGCTACAGCAATCTCATCAACTTTCATAGTTTCTATTTCATATGTAAGAGTATTCACCAGTTGTGCATAAGAAAAATGTAATGAAGACAATAAAATCTGCTCGATCTTCATTTTCAATACTCAAGCCGTGATAAATCAATGATTATTTGATTGAAGCCAATTCTGTGTTGTGCCAAATCAAAACGTTCTTGCATCTTCAACCCATACAGCTTTTGCTTCAGATACAAATTATTCGTCAGAGATTTAGACATAAATTCAGTTTCCAATTTCTTCGACACCTCCCCTAGAGATTTTAGATTCATCACGTGATACATAACCTCATATGTTAAGCATAAACATATGGTTGTTGCCGCTCATTGTTTCAATTCTTCCCAATCTTCATCATCCATGACACCTGGTTCTATTGCCTGCAAAGCCTTCAAGATTCCTCGATATGCCGACAAATCTTCCACCCTTGTCTTGTGACTATCTGAAATTACCATTTCCATCAAATTTCACCACATCGAATTTTTCACAAGAAATTGACATTTGAAATTGATCTTGCAATGAACTGTAGCGATTTGCTACTCACGGAAGACAACCTCCCGAACTGCGCTTACTACCCAGATCTGTGCCTCGTCTATTGCCGCCAATTGCACGGTGGAGAGGTTCTACTCCCTTCTGCTATCGCGCAAAGAAGCTCTGTAGCAGACCTGCGCCGAATGCGCCCTATGTTGCGATTCACCTCCTAAAGCTTCTTTGCTTGTTTCCTTTGCCTGCGAACTCCTCCTATCGCAATCCTTCTCCTGTCGCAATCCAAGCCATCGTAGCAGTGTAAAATTCACCGAGACTCGTCGCCGAACCTTGCGTCGCTAAGCTTCTCACAACCCGTCGCTGAACCTAAACTGGTCGCAGGCGAAACAGGTTGCGAAAATCGAAGCTATACGTCTGTTCTTGCACCAAATCGTCGAACTCCTTCTGTTGGAAATCGCTAAACCTGCGCCGACCTTCTTCTCTGAAAACTGCCGCAGTCGTCGAACTCCCCGAAGCCTCGGCCGCCAAATCTTCTAAAATTCTTCCTTTGTATGCCGAAAATATTTTGCCCTAGAACCTCTCTCCGATACCACTTGTTGAGAAATGAGGGCAAAGAAAAATAGGAGTCAACAAAAATCTAAAAGAACACACAAAAATTTAATGAGGTTTGACAAAGGTGCCTACGACCTCGGGAGTAGAGCGGCGGATTTCTCTCAACTCCAGAAAAAGGGTTAGAGGATACACAATAGAATAACCTAGGGTTACAAATGAGCCTATATATAACTCTAGAGAAAACCATGAAGTATAGTATGTAATTCTCAAATTACTCTTGTACCGTACCACGGGGCATTGCCCTCGCACACCCCAACCCACATAACGAAACTCCCCCAATTAGACAAATTCTTCTGCTCCGCTCCGCTTTATTCCAGCATCTGTCCCTTATATGATATATGAGTCATAACTAACAATATATAATGTGATATATAATTTAGTTTACCACAAGTCTAAATCATGTTTAATCAATAAAATTACTAACTAAAATTAGAATAATAAACATATATTAAATTCTATTTAAATAAATATTTTAATATAAATAATAAGATTTAAATCTTGCCCTATCATTTACATTTTACGACTGTGTGATTAAGATTATCAAAATGGCTCATTTCTCGTGAACAGCTCGTGCTCGGCTTGATTTGCAAACGAGCTAAAGCAGAACAAATTTTTGACCTTGATATATAATTCACTAGAACACCAAGAATGATATTTTTAGTAAGTCGAGCTTGGGCTCGCTCAAGCTCGGCTCGTTTACACTCCAAACTGCTGCATGTGTGATTAGGGTTGTCAAAACGACTCTTTGTTCGTGAAAAACTTGTGTTCGACTCGGTAAGCAAACAAACCCAACATGAATAAGTTTTTGTGCTCGAAATATAAATAGATTAAACACAAACAGTGGTATTTTTTGACAAGCTAAACACAAACTGAGCCCAAATTCACTGTTGTTTGGCTCATTTATACCCCCGTACCACTGAAATCTTTAATATCACATCAAGACATTATAAGTGTAAATATAAATCTTTAGGTGTATACATTTAAATAAAGAAAAATTTTGTGGTATATATGTAAATTTTCCCAAAAAGATGTTATAAAAGCGGATTAAAAATTGTTCTCTGGAAGTCTCCTGGAAGTTTTTACCCGCACATCATCAAAAACTTTGTAAGTAATAAATTAATCATTCAAAGCTAAGATATTTCAGAAGGTTTCTTGCTGCTCGGAATTTCAATAAGACTGCGGTGCCAAATTGGAGAGATTATTACGTTCATCTGGACGTTGAGCTGCATCCGGACGAGGGCCGTAATACAGCGGATGTATCACAGCCGTCTCTCGGACGCAGTTCGGTGTTTGCACGACGGACGTAATGATTTATGGCCAAATTGAGGACATATGTTGTCGACCTGATGAAGGAAGAACACTTGCTCCATAACTCGAGAAATTATTCCGTACAGACATCGCATGCAGAAATGCATGCGGTGTCTTATCTCTACTGTCCATCATTGTCAAAAAAAAAAAAAAAAAAAAAAAAGTTTAAAATGAGGCCCACCGAAATACATTTTTACGGTGATTGACGGTAAAGACCCGACGCCGCATGCATTTATGCATGAATAATTTTTCGAATAACTCTTCCGA